AGAGGTCTTCTGCACGTCGGCTAGCTGTGGAGTCTGTCTTTGAAAGGCAAAGCCAGCTATCATTCGCCATCACAGGGACTAGGGTTTGCATATAAATGATAAGGTTCTGATTCAATCGGTAGTGTGTGAAGAAAAAAACAGAAAAAAATCATGTCAATTGCACTGAATAGGCTCCATTCCGATCCCAGTTACGTGCCCATTTCGCTCCTCCTCCAACACCGCGCCCTCATCCGCCCAGCTGGACACCCAATAAGAACCCTAAACCGTACGCGTTACGATCTTCAGGCTTTTTCGTCCTGCAGCTTCGTTTTTCGTTTTTCAATGAAAGGCGGGCCTTGGGGGCGGAGTCTGGAGGCGGAGTCACTGGAGAAAAGGAGGCGTCACTGAACCTATATTGCGCTATAGCGCCCCTCCCTTACAATTTTTTGCCGCGAAACCGGTACAAGGCTTCGCCGCGGACCACACTACCCTCCCGACGCCATATTTTGCACTTCAATGCCTTATCGCGGTCTGTGCCTTTGAAACTGCCGAACGGTCGTGATAAACCCCTGATAATGATGGTGTTAAGTCCTTCCTTGCATCCCTGTACATTTTGCTTGGCTCTCTGCACCGTGTGAATTTTGTTGAGGAAAGGGGTACAGTATCAAAATTGTTTGATTGTTCCACGAATTTTACAGTTCATCTGATCGGTCGTGGAGGAGAAGGTTCTTTGTTGTCAGAATTGAAGCGGCGAGGATGGGGAATCACTTTGGTTGCGACTGAAACAATTTTCGCAAAAGGAATGAGCCTTTTCCAAATAGAAGTCAATCTCAGTGATGGTGAGTGGCCAGATTTCCTGAGAATCTCCACATCTTGACGCTGTTCACTCTTTACTGCTCCTCTCATCGAAATTCAGGTCAGAATCTGGTTGGAAGCTTTTCCCGGGGGGGGGGGTAGCTGGGTAGCAACACGGTTTCTGGGGTAGCCTGTTTTCGTGGGCAGGAACATTATATCCGCTTATCCCAAAATCTCCTGATGCCATGTGAAAACTGCCGGCGGGATAGTTTGATTCTCTCAACTCGGTTATTATAATTGTTTGGTGCGAAACACCTGGTACGAAACAGTGGCGAGCCAGAAGAATAGATTTTTCAAGCGGAGCGACTATGCAGACGAAATTGAGAGCAGATCATAACGGAAAATTGACTTCCACAAAGGAAAAGTTTTGAGAAAACGGTCCTTCAAACCTGGAAGAGTGTGGCAGTGAAGAGGTGTCGTTCCTTTTTTTAACGTGATTTGTGACGCACACGTTGAAGGCGGCGTTTGTATTCCCCTCACAATCAGTTTTTTTTCTTTTCAGATGGTCTCAATCATGTTGAGGAAGTAATTAGCCTAGTTTTCAACCGCATTGGGCTACTCAGACGTTAGTTGACGCAATGCTATGATTTATAGGAAATTCGAAGATCAGACGAAATCAATTTTCGCTTCATGGTTCGTCGAATGAGCGTTCAAGGACACTTGACCGGTCACTTCATATTCAGTTCAGGAGAAAGTCGATCCAGTAGATGCGGTCGCCACATATTCTTCTGATTTGCAGCGTATTCCTTTTCGAGACATTCTATCGTGGAATCATCTCATGACGGAGTACAAACCTGGTACTCACATCTCAAAACCGTAGTAGATTTCACTTTTGAACGCCAACTTGCGGCGAATCGTGCACGTTCTTAATGCTATGAATTGAACGTACATACTGAGGAGACTGTTCACGCTGGTTGTGGGCGCGTGGATTCATACCTACCACTATCCTACCTCATTGGCTGCCTTCACCCTTATAATTTACAAGGAGCGGTGCACCAATCAGAAGGGCCCCATTTCACGTCTGACTCCGCCCACAAAGTCAGCATGGACCATACTTTCAACGAAAACGGATTTCAGATCGAATTATGGAGATCATCAAGATGTTGTCTCCGAAGAACATGTTCTACATCGTAATTGCAAGGAAGTACAGCGGTCAGGAGGGCAATATTCACGAGCCGATTTTTGGGACAGAAATGCGAATCGTAAATATAGAGGAGGTGAATTTTTCGGGAAAGAGCGTACATTCACGAAGTCTAAAGTTAGTAAACAAGCGCAGTGGGTGGAAGCCGGTCTGCTGTCCTGTATTCTGTAAGAAGGGATTCATACAAGTGTGAAGGACTACCGACTGTGTCAACACTGCTAAACGATCATGAACAAGTTAGATCAACAATATGAACAGTATAAGGTGCCTGAAAACGTTTTTATGCTTGTCGGCTCCGGGATAAGCAACAAAAGCCCGGCACCTGGTAGAATAAAGGGAGGCTCTGGATGCATAATTGATCTGATTTGTTCAGCTATCGTGGATTGTAAATCCATCCTGATGACCATCTCCTCTCAGTGTGTTCTCCTCCTTCTGTATTCAGCGAACTCTATCTAGACACTGGCTTGTTGAGTTCAAAACAAACTGCGCACTTATCTCAGTGGATCTTCGTTATTTTCATATGTGAGGCGAATGTTTCACAGTACAATACTGTGCCACTTTCTCTAGACAAAAATGCATGCGAACGGCTGAGGTAGTAATACGCGGAGGCATTTCCAGCCATACGCCAAACCGTAGCCAAACGCGCTGATTGTCTGCCGCTTTACATAGGGTTGTTCTCTATTACTGGGTGCGTATCCCTGCGGGATCTTGGTATCGAGGCAAGAGCTACGCAATGAGGAGGTGGTGGGCGGAGTATGGAGACGGCACTCACGTATCACGTACCCTCCGAGCTCATTCTCGTGCACTGTTGAGTGAAGAGAAAGTCATGCCAGTGCAGTTGCTGATTCATTTACCTCCCACATGGGAAAGACCGCTTTGGAGGTTAGTGAGTGTTGAAATAAAACCAGTCTTCCAAGTCAGTGTTGACTTCCGCGTACTCGTCCTCGTAGTACGCAGCACTGCAATCTGGACTCATAGTCGCTGTGCTATGCTTCCGAGAAAAGCTGTTTTTTCTGTGGAAACCACTGGTGCCGCGCATAACGTTATATTTAAATGACTTGGTGTTATAACTAAGAGCTGCTGGAACCCAACAATGGTATTGAAGGAAACAATGGAGCAGTTTGAAACCGCTCTGGAAACGGTGAATCCTTCTCTGCATCTACCGCTGAAGAACGACTACATTGCTACAAAATTCGATCCTCAAACCACGAGAAACAACTAAACGGTGAGTATTTATCACGACCTTTTTCTGTTTCCACAGCTGCAGTCTTTACTCTGCAGACGGGGGTGCGTCAGGGTTACTGGTTGCTTGGCGCAGCGCAAGCCCGTTTTCCACAACAGGCGACAACAATTGGTGGCAGATGGGCTGGCGATCTGAAACCAGGTAAATGAGCCGACATGTTATCGGCTCATATACCGGCTAGAAAGGAGATTCAGAGGTATATTTCGCACCTATAGTGAGGGCGGAATCGGGCGTACCATTGTGGTTTTCTCATTGGTGCGTCCGTGCTTTTACTATCTTAAATTGTGTGGCGCACCACTGAATAGGAAGCAATTCCGCGCAGGAGCTTCGTTCCAACTGTCTGCGTGGAATGAGCCATTGGAGAGAAATAAACATTATTGAAGAGAAATGCTAATGATAGGGAACATCCTCGCGTCATACAAGACGATGCATGGTGTCGAATTTGGTTCAAGCA